AATATATAAAAATATAATATAAAAAATTCAGTTGGATGGGGAAAAAATCACACATCACATCTCTCCCAGTTGATTTTGCAGTTAGAACTTGCAAGGAAAAGCCAATTGGATTTGGGGCAACTTGTTACCGGCCTATCAGTTGGGTCAAGTCACTGAAATCAACCCAAAAAAGTGAAGAAGGGGTGTGGTTAAGTCTTATAAAATTTATTTAATTTAATTGATATTTTATTAATTTATAATTAATTTTAATATATTAAATAATAAAAATTAATTACTCTTTAATAATCAAATTAAATGAGTTCCGTGTGGCCTTAATTTTGTGGTATCGGGTCATATCCACACCACACCCTCTGTATTGACAACTTTCATTTTTGTCCAAACTGAAAACATCTTTTCTATGGCGTGCATGTTGAAAGGTTGACAATCAAAATATTTTGGTTTGTCCGAATATCCGATGCTACATCTTTGCCCCACACCTTAGGGGATCAGCTCTATTACATTAATTAGATTTCCTTTAGGTTAGTAAGAAATGATTTCTAAACACTATAACTAGTTATCAATGGCTTAGGTAAATTAGTGATAATTTTTTTTTAATAAAAATAAAATGTACTAAGTTTGAGTTGCATGGTAAATGAATAGATATGTTATAAGATAAAAGAGAGTTGTCTTTCATTAAATAACCTAAATTTTAAAAAATTAAAAAAAGGTAAACTATAATTAGCTAAATTGCAAATTCCATTAATTATAATTAACATGCATCATAAGTAAAATAGTACTTACCAATAAAGGATTTGAAGTTAAAGCTATAAACATGTAATTTCTAGAGCGAAGATTTTGATGTTAAGTTTCTAAATCTTATAATTTTTATCAATTTTAAATACACTTCTATCCACCCCCTATTGTACTCCCAGTAATATGTGAAAACATATCTCATTGCTTCAAAACATGATGAAATTTGGTAGGATTTAAGACTATCAAAATATTCTTTTTGGGATTTTCTTTAAGTGGGGTATTAAATTTCAGGAATAATAGTAGAAAAATTTTAGTAATAAAAGAATTAAACTTAAGACACAACAATAGGGTTAAAATATAAAAAATTTTCTCTACCTACTCAAGCGTTTTGGCTTCGTTAATAAAAAAATTATTGACTAAGGTTTGATTTTTTTGAGAAGTTATTGAAAAGATAATTCCCTATAAATTATTTTGCTTATAAATTATTTTGTCTTTATATTATGAATGACTTATTTTTAATTAAATTAGTGAATGACTACTCTTGAGATGCATCTAAATTGATTTAAGAATATTTTGACAACAAAACTGAAAACTATTCTCCACCTTCAAAATTTTTTTTAAAAAATATTCTATGATAATTTTTTCTAACTAATGAAGTTGATTCAAAAGATTAAAGAGTAATTTAAATTATATTAAGAATGTAAGTTTGAATCTTTTTAATATCATTGTTTTACAAATAATTTTAATTAATTATCACTTACGACCCTTGAAAGTAGAACCTTATTTAGTACTAATAAATAAAATAGTTAACTTATTTAGTAGTGATAGATAAAATAGTTAACAAGTATCGATAAATTTAATTAGATATTTATATTATCTTTTTTAAAAGCGTATTATTGTGTGCAGGGGGAGTAATAGAATGAATATAAAAATGCAAACAGTAAGTTTGTTACAGGCAATGAGGTAAGGACAAAAATCAGAATAAAGGTGGTGACTGGTAAGTGGATGAGTGAACATATCATTATTTTGAATCTCTGATTAATTGAATTGAAGTCCATCTGGCTTCTCACAAATGTCTGCTACTCAAGCTTCCCTTCACGCGTTTCCTCCACGATGGGCAAGGTGACAGATCAATAGAATCACTGCACCTGTGTTACGTTAAAGTTATTACATAATATTATATTTATTTATTTATAATTAAATTGATAATTTAAATAATTTAATTAATTAAATTGATCAAATCAAAAGTTAAAAGTCAAAATGATGTGATTTCCGAGTTGATTTTTGAAAACACTGACTTAAAATATATATTAGAAAAATCTTCCCCTTAATTAGAGTAGTTTTTTTTTTTTAAAAAAAAAAATAATAATTAAAGATGTTAATGTGTAAAAAAGATATTAAATCTAAGATATAAGATGTAAATTACGATCTGCCCCAAAAAACAACATGTGACCGTTAAGACACCCACGTGAAATGCCTTAATTAGAGTACTTCAATTCTTCTCCTATCTAGACTTTGGGGGTGGGCATATGCCGATTTTGGTGAAAACCAATACCGAAAAGTAACTAATGGACTTTTTCTTTCCTCTTTTTTTCATGACAGAAACCCATAACGGAATCCTTTTATTTTTTCAGTATTGCATACCGAAGATTTCGGTATTGGATACCAACAGTTTCGGTATACCAAAAATTTTGGTGTTGGACACCAAAAATTTCGTTATTCATTTTTTTGATTTTGATATTCATCAAATTTGCTGTTGCAGAGTGGAGAAAGGAAAGAGAACAATGGTGAGGATAAAAAGGAGGAAGAGGGGTTCGAAGCAAATAAGATTACGGAGAGAATAGGAGGAAAAAACACGATAATATGATATATAATTTTATGAAAAAAAGTTCCTATCAGTCTTATCTTTTAAAAATTAAGAAAAAAATCATTGTAAAATTACGTCGTTTTAATAATTTTTTATTAAAAAAGATTAAACTATTTTAATTTTAAAGTATGCATTACGGTAATTTTTTTTTCTCATAATTTTTTAGAGGTAAGACGAAAAAGCACTAACCCCTAATTTTATAATTGTGAAAAAATTATAAAAATTTATTATAGATTAAAAAAATTGTATTTTTTTTGTATCCAATGCCAAAATTTTTGGTATACCGGAGTTGTTGGCTAAGAGTTAAATTAAAAAAAAAGGTTAACCGTCCAAATCAAAATCCAAAAATTCATGAAAGGCATTTCTCTCAAAGATAAGCTAGCGTAACTGAGGGTTCCGTGCTCGGCAGGAGAGCTGCTTTTTCATTATTAATTATTATAAAAAAAATAGGTAAAAAGTGCAGATCACCCCCTAACCTCAACAATTGGTGGCAAATCACCCCCTCAACCCACTTCACACGCAAATCAACCCCTTAACTCACATGCAGTGGCAAATCAACCTCTCCTTTAACCCTTCCGTTAACATTTAATAGTCCGCTCATCAGCCCTTCCCCTGTGTCTGACGTGGCCTTCTTTTTGCTGAGATGGATGCTGAGGTGGAGGCATAGCTGGACAAATACCTCAAAATCAGTAAATTATGCAAATTACTTTTATACCCTTAAGTTGTTTAGGGAATAAAATTGGGGATTTAGGGATTTAGGGATTTAGGGATTTAGGGAACAGCTTCTATCATCTTTGTCTTCTTCCCTTCTTCGTCTTTGTTTAGCAAGATCTGCAATTCATCGAGCATGAGGTTCTTCGTCAAGCTTTGAATCTTCTGTCAAATTACCATATTTTGAGGATATCTAGGCTTTTATTTTGTTTGGCAGCTTCTATCATCTTCTTCCCCTCTTCGTCTTTTAAAAATTGAACCTTTTTTTAGCAAGATTTGCAATTGATCGAGCATGGGTTCTTTGTCAAACTCTAAATCTTCTGTGAAATTACCATATTTTGAGGATATTTAGGGTTTTATTTCATTTTCCAGCTTCTATCATCTTCTTCCCCTCTTTGTCCTTTCAAAAATTGAACTCTTTATTATCGAGCATGGCTTTTTGACTGATCCCGGACGTTGTTTTTGGTCTCTGTATTGTTTAGTTTCGTTTGATAAGTTTGCATATGGAAGAAATTATTGTTTTCTGATGGCTAATTTGCATTTGATTTAGTTGCATTTGTTGCTCAATTCAATCTAGATCTTTGTTAAGAAGACAAAAATGGCTCATATCTGTTGGTTTCAAGGGGTCTTTTGGGTTTCATTTTTGGAGAAGATCTGTTCTTTCTGTGATTTTAATTGGCATTATATTTTTGTATTGGATCTGGTAATTTTCTGGTGGATCTTGATGTTGGTTTTGCCATGGTTAATTACTTGTTTATTGGGGGAAATGGGGATGGGAACTAGAGCTTTTAAATCAATTTGATGCACAGAAAAGAAGCAATTTTTTTAACACCAAATGATATGTAAAGTATTTTATCACATTGAATTTCTGATGGCTCAAGCCTCAGATTTGCTGTTTGTCTTTTCTTGTGTATATTATATTTATGTTTTCTGTTTTCTTTTGTTGGAGTTTTAGAGCTTATTTTGGGTTGTTGATTTGTCGGTGCTATTGTATACTTTTTCATATTTATTAAGGTTGGTTGATGCACAAAACTACTGCCTCTTGCTTTAATTCTGAATAATTTCTGTATCTTCTTAATTTTGTAGAATTGCTTTTGCCAATAATTTCAGTATATTGGGCACACTAAAGAGCCTGTCGGGATTGCCCAGGGAGTTCCACTTTTGGGATTTGAAGATGGTGACGAACAACTTTGACTAGAAGCGGAAGCTGGGTTAGGGAGGATACGGGGTAGTCTATAGAGGGGTGCTGGAGAAGGAGAATCTGGAAATTGCCATGAAGAAATTCTCCAGAGACAGTATGCAAGGCAAAGATGATTTCTTGGCAGAGCTGACCATCTCATTTTCCCATTTTCTTGTTTTTTTCTATAAATTGATTAAATTTTGTCCACAAACAAATGATTACTCAATTGCAATTATTTTGGGTTTGATTTAGATTAAGTTTTTCTCAA